CCTTTTGGCGGCCATTTTGGACGCCATCTTGAATTTAGGGGCTTAAATGCAAAAATCGAGCTTGGCAACAGGGCGCATCGTTTTCAGCGGGGTCGAATTAGTCTAGAACCGCCTGTTGCCAGTTTGTAGCACAAATCGCCTCTCGACATGATTTAGAGAGCCTTTTTCAGGAATCCTTCCCGGTCTATAAGGCGGAATAAAGCCGGTTTTAACTCTTAAGTCGTTCATGACTTGACCCAGCTTGAGTTCGAAGACAAGCCACTGCAGATTGGTAATTTTTAATAATTCGAGACCAAACTGAGCGAAATTCAATCTGAATCAAATGTGGCAAGTAGATTAGACTCGGTACACTGAACTTTGCACACATCCCTTACAAGAGAGTGGTATGCATGTTGATTTTCGAGTGGCACGCAGAATAGAAGAGGTTGTGGCTACTTTCACTTGAGGAATATTTTCTGAACTGCCTCTGAGCGAGGTTTACTGCTCAAAACAGACAGCGACAGCGGCTTGCTTTTGCAATAGTCGTGAAGCGAGGACACACTGTAAACGCAAAGGTCGGGCGTACGATCAAAAGGGAAGGGGCATGCTGGAAGCTCAGGGCAATTTTTAAATAAAAAAAATAATTCCCCCCTTAAGAAATGGGCGTATACGTGCTTTTCGCATGAATTTGAGCGCTATTGCGCACGAACTAAAGTGATTATGCGCAGAAAGTGGTGCGAAACATTTCGCCTGAAAAGGCGAGGAAACTCCTCCACTCAGTCCCTCTCGCACTTATATTTTACCTGAAAAAACGCCTTGAATGTAGGCAAATAGCAAACTAAGTTCAGTCAGTGGCAGACCCTTCGGTCTGAGGAAAGGCAACGAGCAAAATTGTGCGAATATATTTGGCTGTGCACTCGGCTTCTGGGTTGGCAAAGCGAGCGTGAGCGATAGTGCATTCCGAGCTGTGGCACTCGCAGGACACGGTCGTGACCAACCGAGCTTTTCCGACCAGTCGTTCGTCGTCGCTTTGTCTCTCTCGCACCAGCGCAAAAAGCGCCATGAGGGCCACAGAGACAGCGACGAAGCAACTTAACAGGGGTCAGCAGGGCCCCGCGAGCAAAAATCTATGTACTGTAATTCAACGTCAGAACGTGAATTTCGTCCAATTCGTTAGGATATTGATCCACAATAAAACGAGTAGCTTAATCAAGAACCTATAAAGCCCCAATCCGACTGACTCACTGACTCACTCACTCACTCATAGAAATGTTTGGGGTGAAGGAGTGGTCGTAGAGACTTGCGGTTTTTTCCATTCGATTCCAAATTTTATGGGAAAATTGGGAAAAATCCCGAAAGTTGAAAATTCCTCACCGTTTCCGAGAAAACCTACTTTATCTACAAAAAAGGGGAACAAATTTCTCACCGTTTCCGAGCAAACCTACTCAATCTTCAAAAAAGGGGACCGACCGACTAAAAATTTTTATTCGCCCTATCGGTAGGTCTGGTCGAGACATTTCCGAAACTGTGCCGCAATCGGGTCCCCGTCACCGGCAACATCCTCAAAAACGATTAAATAGGCCTAAATTCAACAAAATCCACTCAATCTTCAAAAAAGGGGACCGACCGACTAAAATTTTTTATTCGCCCCATCGGTAGGTCTGGTCGAGACATTTCCGAAACTGTGCCGCAATCGGGTCCCCGTCACCGGCAACATCCTCAAAAACGATTAAATAGGCCTAAATTCAACAAAATCCACTCAATCTTCAAAAAAGGGGACCGACCGACTAAAATTTTTTATTCGCCCCATCGGTAGGTCTGGTCGAGACATTTCCGAAACTGTGCCGCAATCGGGTCCCCGTCACCGGCAACATCCTCAAAAACGATTAAATAGGCCTACATTCAACAAAATCCACTCAATCTTCAAAAAAGGGGACCGACCGACTAAAATTTTTTATTCGCCCCATCGGTAGGTCTGGTCGAGACATTTCCGAAACTGTGCCGCAATCGGGTCCCCGTCACCGGCAACATCCTCAAAAACGATTAAATAGGCCTAAATTCAACAAAATCTACTCAATCTTCAAAAAAGGGGACCGACCGACTAAAATTTTTTATTCGCCCCATCGGTAGGTCTGGTCGAGACATTTCCGAAACTGTGCCGCAATCGGGTCCCCGTCACCGGCAACATCCTCAAAAACGATTAAATAGGCCTAAATTCAACAAAATCCACTCAATCTTCAAAAAAGGGGACCGACCGACTAAAATTTTTTATTCGCCCCATCGGTAGGTCTGGTCGAGACATTTCCGAAACTGTGCCGCAATCGGGTCCCCGTCACCGGCAACATCCTCAAAAACGATTAAATAGGCCTAAATTCAACAAAATCCACTCAATCTTCAAAAAAGGGGACCGACCGACTAAAATTTTTTATTCGCCCCATCGGTAGGTCTGGTCGAGACATTTCCGAAACTGTGCCGCAATCGGGTCCCCATATAGCCCCAATCCGACTGACTGACTCACTCACTCATAGAAATGTTGGGGGTCAAGGAGTGGTCGTAGAGACCTGCGGGTTTTTCCATTCGATTCCAAATTTAATGGGAAAATTGGGAAAAATCTCAAAAGTTGAAAATTTCTCACTGTTTCCGAGCAAAGCTACTCAATCTTCCAAAAAGGGGACCGAATGACTAAAAAATTTTATTCGCCCCATTGGTAGGTCTGGTCGAGAATTTCCGAAACTGTGCCGTAATCGGGACCCCGCCACCGGCAATTGGGCAATCATCTTCAAGAATCTATATAGCCCCAATCCGACTGACTGACTCACTTACTCACTCAAAGAAATGTTTGGGGTCGAGGAGTGGTCGTAGAGACTTAAGGTTTTTTTCCTTTCACCTCTATCCTTGTCAAAGCAGTCTTCAATATTTTCCGGACCTTGTATGCACCCATTGACTGCCACAGTAGCCAATGCAATACAAGCTATGTATTTGGGCAGTAAAAGTAGCCTTATTATATGGTCAAAAGCGGTTAAATAGAGCTTTCAAAGAAGCAGGACATTTACTTCCGTAGAAAATTTGCCTTTGCTCACCACGGACTTACTGAAAATACTTCGGCACGCGCTCCACAGATGCGGGGGTCTGGGGGCGGAGCCCCCAGCGAGCAGCGCGAGTTCACATTCTAAGGACGTAACATTTGTTAAAGTACAGTGTTATGCACCGTGCCATTTAAAGACTCCTCTTGTGGGACCTACCCTTACAGAACTTAAGTTGTCACTTGAAGACAATATTAAGGATAATTTTGCTTTCAAGAATTTCATCATAACAGTTGCTGACATTTTATCATGCTCATGTAATAGTATATGTATATGTAATAGTATGTAATAGTATAATAATAAGTATATGCAGCTCATGAGCGTTGATAAAGTCATCAACTTGGGCTGAAAATCACTGTAAATAAATATTCCGTGCTTTAGCCCGGAAAATGCGTACCGAAGAATGGAGAACGGAAACACGGAAAAAAGTACAAAACGTCCGTGCTTGTTCCATATGAACCTATGAAAACGGTTACTGAAAACAAGCATGGAAGTTACGTGGTTGGCAGGTGCCAGACGGCCCAGGCAAATTATTGACCAGACTTGCTCCATACTTGTTCCGCACGTTTTTCTTCCAGTGTCATCATTTTTAAGTGGTGAAAACGACACCCAGGGTTTTGTCATCAAGTGACGATGAATTTTTTACAGTGCACCTGTACTCACCGCTGCAACCCTCCTCGTCGGAGCCGTCGCCGCAGTCTTCGTCGCCGTCGCACCGGACGCGGCCAGACACGCAGGCGCCGTCCCTGCACTGGAACTTCCACGGCTCGCAAGCCCGAGACGCTGTAAGCAGAGGAATGTCGGCAGGGCGGCCCGAGGGGTGGCCTCGCCCCCACCACCGCGTTTCTGCACTGCGAAAATGCCTCTGGTAAAATGTTTGCCGAAGAAATTTTCGTAAATTCACGAATATTTATCGAGTCTCACACTTGCAAACCTGAGACAAATGTGGCTCACACATGCAAGCATGAGACAAAATGTCCCACACCTACAAGTGTGAGACTGTCTCACACTTGGATTGGCAGTGAATACACTTCGTGAACTCAACGAATAATATTCATGAATTTGAATGTTTTTCCAGAGGCACCTTGGCTGATTCCCAATTTATTTCTCACAGTGCATTTTATTCAAGTTGTATTACTGCAAATTTGAATTTCAAATGGCACGCACTTTACGAACTAAACTACATATGCAGGGCACACTGTTTGTTGTGCATGTGTACGTACATGATCGCTGCCTGAAACAATGTGCCTGCAATGCACGCTATTTCTATTTATCCGACAGTCTGCAGAAACGTGGATACCCCAACCCCACTGGCGCGAATTTCCGCATGTTTGAAAAAGCTTTTAATTTGCATCTGCTCCACTCCATTACATCCAATCATCACCATTCTTGGCTTAAAGGCCTTCTCAATATTTTCTTCAGACATCGACAGTTTGGATAACCTGCAATAACACGTTTTGAAATGCTTGCACAAGTGACAGTGAGTGCTCGCCTAGTAGGAAGAACTAGTCGCGACTAGACCGCGGTCCCCTGAAAGGGTTATTCAGACCCTCTTGGCCAGCTACTGTGAAATCTCTGAAGAGGGTACAAAATGTGGGATTTAAACAAGACGGAGCCTCCATAAATGTAATCTAATTTGTTCATGTTAAATGATATCCTTCACTATACACTGTGCGAAAAAACCACAGTGAATCCCGTTAATTTTTTTGCCGGGATTTACTGTAGTTCAGAACACAGGATTTACCGTGCCTGGCTACAGTATCTACTGTACCTGGTACAGGATATTCCGTACTCCACTCCTGTGGTACAGTAAATCCCGTAGAAAGTACAGTAGATCCTGTTAAAAAAGTACAGTAAATCCTGTAATCTGAACTACAGTGACCGCTGTACTAATCACTACAGGATTTACTGTGATTTTTTTCCCACAGTGTACTTTGAAGTGCAGTACTATAATTCCATTTGGTACAATTGGATCAACACTGCAAGGAAGACAGACACGATTGCGGAGGAGGCAACGCGGTCGCCAGCTCCGGATGAAAGTACTTCGGGCACGAAGCGCTCGGTCATGATCTTCTGGACGAGTTGACCAGACATTTTCAAGGTGCGAGTCTTGTTAGGGGAATCGTGGTCCACACGCACGAGGCCGAACCTGTTACTGCAAAAAGTTTAAAGACAGTTTTCAGTTTAAAAAATGGAAGAACGGACGAGAGTCTTCCCAGGTGGCCGCATTTTTACGAGTTTCACTGTTCAAGGGGCAAACAACTTCGAAAAATTTTGTACGCCGTTATGTCAAATTCAAGTTATTTCAACGTTATTTCAAGGGTATTTCACTGCCAGACACAGCAAATACACGTGAAGGACAAGTCAACACTTGTAGGCGTAGACCAATTTGTCCTCCGCTTGCAAGTGTCGACTTGATGTGTTCGACACTTTCAAGAGTCAACTACACTGTCTCACGCCTATGCATGTGTAGGACACGTCCTACAACAAACTACGGTGAGTTTCTTGTTGTGGACCCACACTTCCAGCCGCCGGACATGTTGTGGTCGACACTTGCAGGTGTTGGACACTGTGTGGTCGACACTTCAAAGCGGCGTCTACGCCTACAAGTTTCGACTTGTCCTACACTTGGATTTGCAGTGCAACGCTATATCAAGTTATTTGAACGTTCCTCGCGTTATTTCACGGGAAACTTAACACCAAATTCAAGTTGTTTGCCCCTCGTTCGTTCTATCGCTTTTATTTCGGAGTTTCGTTCAATAACTAGCGATTAAGAGGCTAATGCGTTTCCAAATTGTTGCATCTGTGTCAGCAATAACAACTTATCACGTTTACCTGTTTTATAACGTACTCTTCAAATCTAAAAGCGTACATTGTATGCTCTACCTGGAGCATGCCTGCAAGCACGCTCTAGCTAGCGCAAGCCTGCCAAGCATGCACTTACGAGTGCATACAAGCCAAGAACACGCCAACTGAAGCATGCATCTAGTGCATAAGGGATAGGGAGTTGTCTGCATCAGTAAGCGTGTACTTGGCATGTATGCACTAGTGCAGCGGTTCCCAACCTTCTTCGGTTCGCGACCCCAAATTTGTAACAAAAAATTTCCGCGACCCTCAGGAAAAATTTCGCGACCCCACGCGACCCCTCCTTTAGCATGCCTTTGATACAAAGTGCGATAATCCACCTTAGTTTGGGAGCAGTATTGCCGCAAAGTTGATCAAAACGCTTAGAAATGTCTTTAAAAAATAGTGTTTTGGGCCGACTTTAAGCAGCCACTGCGTCTGATCCGACAAGGTATTTCGTCCTCCCTCGACGGGGATTTGGTCTTTGGACCTTCCTTTAGCATGCCTTTGTTACGGAGTGTGATTATCTGCCTTAGTTTGGGAGCAGTATTGCCACAAAGTTGATCAAAACGCTCAGAAATGTCTTTAAAAAATCGTGTTTTGGGCCGACTTTAAGCAGCCACTGCGTCTGATCCGACAAGGTATTTCGTCCTCCCTCGACGGGCATTTGGTCTTTGGACCTTCCTTTAACATGCCTTTGTTACGGAGTGTGATTATCAGCCTTAAATTGGGAGCAGTATTGTCTCAAAGTTGATGAAAACAGTAAAAAATGCCTTTGCATGCCATTTTGATCCACTTTGAGACAATACTGCTCCCAAACTAAGGCCGATAATCGCACTCCGTAACAAAGGCATGCTAAAGGAAGGTCCAAAGACCAAATGCCCGCTGAGGAAGGACGAAATACCTTGTCGGATCAGACGCAGTTGCTGCTTAAAGTCGGCCTAAAACACGAATTTTCAAAGGCATTTTCGACCGTTTTGAACAATTCTGCCAGCCGGGAAACAGCCGCGACCCCAGGCGACCCCAACCATCTCGCCGCGACCCCTCGAAATTTTTTCGCGACCCCATTTGGGGTCGCGACCCTAAGGTTGGGAACCGCTGCACTAGTGAGTGCATGCTTGGCAGGCATGCGCCAGCTAGAGCGTGCTTGCAGGCATGCTCCAGGTAGAGCATACAATGTGCGCTTTTGGATTTGTAGAGTAAACTCCAGTCAACCCGTTCACGGAAATTGAAATAATGAGACATTTCAACTTTCGGCGATACAATAAGCATTATCAAAAGGAAGGTCTCACACAAATGTATCGCTGATAAAGGGCGATACTTATCACCGAATAAACGGTCAGACATCAGCGAGACTGGCCCTTGTTTTCCTGGGTGAAATATTACCCTTGCGGCGATACACTCAAGTATGTTTTTCGGTCAAACAATTATGTCTAACCCCTCAGAGGGTGTGAGATGTATCACGTTTTGATTTGCAGAGTCGGTATTGTGCTTCGCCACGGCTTTGAGCTACTTACTCGTATGATTCCCATTCAAAGGAGTCGAGCAGGCTCCACGCAATGTAACCAATCACATTGCATTTGTCTTCATGGATGGCCCGCAGCATCTGTCTGAGATAACCCTGAAAATTGGAAGAGTGCTCAGTTTTATGTCCTGCCATTCGATAACTTAGTGCAACCTGGGACATTCGCTCATACTCCTACGGTCGTTCGGTCTGCCTAAGAACGCTGGGTAATAATCCACACGGCAGAAGCAGCGCCTGAGATTCCCAGGCGGCACCTGAAAAATATACCTCTTTTTCCAGGGTGTGCCTGGGAATCCCAGGCGCCGCTATATGCCGTGCACGGTGTTACTAAAGGGCCAGGAAGCAGAAAAAACAGACACCTACATAATTGTCATTTATCCGCAGGAACAACACATTGTTTGCAGGGAATACATGCAGACTATGAAAAGTTTAAAAAGTCAAAACGATTTACTCTGGACTATTTCTGTGGCTGAATGCATTTAGTGACCATAGACAACGGGGCCATGTTTACGTAACGAACCAGTTGAGGTTCGTCCGGAAACAAAAGAGAGCGGTGCTGGGGTCAGCAGGAAGTGCGGATGAGAAGCGCTCCTACGGTTTTATTTCTAGAAATAAAATTTTATGACTGAGCAAACAAGATGAAACTATTCTGGACCACTGAAGGTCTGAAAATGTATCTAGCCTTACTTACACTCAAGTAAACTTGACGGTGGTGGTCGTCGAGGCCGTCCTCGGGGTAAGATCCGATCCCGTTTTCGGTGACCATGATGCTGATGTCGCCGTAACGGTCCCTCAGCCATAGGAGACTCTCACGGATGCTCCAAGGCGTGGCCTGTGCAGGCAAGTAGACTGTTACCCAGAGGAAAGAGGTCCTCCAATTTGAAGTCCTCAATTGTGGACCCGTACTGAATGGAAAAAAAAGATCCTTTAATTTTTGACCGAACTTAGAAAGCGCTCTGGACCCTTGTTAGGTCCTCCCTCACCCAAAAACCAAACGTGGTCTATCACACCAACTGATGCGCTCAAATGGATGCCATTTTGCCCGCATCAAATCGACACTTCCTTTGTAGAATAATCTTAACTGCGAGAGTAGATGCTAAACAATTGTAACTGTCAGAGCGGACACAAGACAATCCTAATTTTCAGTGTCGATTCTCTCTATCTGCACATGACCTGAAAAGCTGTCTTTTCTCAGAGACAACGTCCACATACTTCAAACAATTACTTGCCGAAGGACGTGCTATCCTCGTAAACATGTGGACATCGTGTTTTAGAGATATTACGATTCAATGATTTGCACTGAAGATTAGTTCATGAACACTTTTAGGTACCTTTGCAGTTAGGATAGTTCTATTCTGGACTGACAGTAAGGATTGTCTTGGATCTAGTCTAGCAGTTAGGATTATTTTTGTTAGGAGGCGTCGAAATGGTGTGGTCATTGGCTGAGCGATAGCGAAGCCCGTTACTCCAGTGCGGTTGAAAAGTTTTGTCTGTCTGTCTGTGTGTCTGTCTGTCTGTGTCTGTGTGTGTGTGTGTGTGTGTGTGCGTGTGTGTGAAGTGTGTGTGTGTGTACACTACTCCTCCTGAACGGCTCGGCCGATCCGGCTGAGATTTTGCAGGCTTATTAGGCATGTTCTTGGCTCGGCACACGCGAAATCTCACTATCCTAGCTCAACTGGTTCAGTTTTTATAGCTGAAAAACACCTAAAAAACGGCGAAAAATCGAGTTTTCTGCAGGTAGATCACCTCTATCTTGAACACTATGGCAAAAACCTACGGAAAATTCTGTAAGCAGCTTGTGGGAATTCTCCGTAGCCCCCTTATCAATATTCTCCGTAGGCTCTTACAGTATTTTCCGTAGGACCGCACAGTATTCTCCGTAGGACCTTACAGTGATCTCCGTAGGACTATACAGTCTTCCAGGTCCTACGGAGAAGACTGTGCGGACTTACAGAGAATACTGTACGGCCCTACGGAGAATTCTGTAAGAGCCTACGGGGAATATTGATAAGAGGGCTACGGAGAATCCTGGCAAAAAAATTAACAGAATTTTCTGTACCTTTTTGCCACAGTGAAGAAAGGAGGATCTGGGGGGTGGAGCCCCCCAGCCTCGACAAGTTAGAAAAACACAAGGGTCAAGATCGTGTTATCTGTAGATGAAGCAACTCTACCTAGAATTAAGGGGGGTCTGGGGGGCGCCAGCATGCAACACGTAAGGAGTAACCGACGATGGATAAGCCAATGCCTGCCGAAGGCAGGCTAGCGCCGCAGGCCAAGGTAGGTACGCCAGGCGCGGATTGGAGGAACAGGCCGCGAGACATCGCGAAGCCTGTTACGACAAGACGCGGTCTGGCGTAAACCTACCTTGTTATATTACACACATCGACGCCTCCTGGCTCTATAATAGTCCTGCCAGAGTAGATCTAAGACAATCCTGACAGTGTACGTCCGTCCTAATCAGCATGAGTAAGATCTTAAAGGGCCCAGTACCAGCAACCCAAATAAAACACTTACGTGCGAATAAGTGCACGCTGGCCGCTCGCCTGTCGGTGGGTCGTCGGGGTGGAGCGCCAGAACGCCCGAATCACGGTCGTACGATGGATTTCCAGCAGACACTGGGGTGCCGTCCGTGGCATCCAGGCCGAAGTACGCGTTCAGTCCGAGGAAGTCCAGGGTTCCTACAACACGAGCACATTCGTCGTTTTTCAACATTGTCCGTTTTATGGGGCACCAAGGTTAAAGTTTTATTTTTCTATTTTGAGGACGAAAGCTCTGTCAAACTGCAATTGCCACAGTCATTTCCAATAAAGAAACTTATCCCAAATATTTTGCGATGAAAATTACAAATCTGCAATGAAAATTATAGCTTAATTTTTCAATGAAATATCACTTTTTTTTCGATACTGGTTACAAAGAAATTGTCTTTAAAATTATAGTAAAACCAAATAACGTTACTACAAAAGGTTCTTTTGCCGCAGAAATTAAGGGGTGGTTATTGCAAAGTAATTCACAGTTGTAGTCCGATCGGTCTGTCCGTAACAGCACGAGCGGTGGCAGCGCGATAGCCGAAATTCTTAGAATTATACCTACATAAGGGTTGTTTTGGCCACGTTTTTAGCTGAAATCTCAATTAGAGACGTAAAGCGTAAGACATGAAATGGACCTTACGAAGCATTTTGAGCCTGCGTAGTACAAACTAATTTACTTTCTTATACAAGTCGGCGCGTCCTAATAGAACAATCCTAACTGTGAGAGCAGATCCAACACAATTCTAACTGCCAGAGCAGATACAGGACAATACTAACTGACAGAGCAGATTTATCCCAACTGCAGATGTAACTAACATACCATGAACAGTGCTTTTGCACATGACGGGGAAAGCTGTCTTTTCTCAAAGTCCGTGACGCCCACATTCTTCATAAAATTACTTGCCAAAGGACTTGTTAAAAAGTTTCATCCTTATATAAATTTTTTAATACGTGGACATTGTATTTCAGAGAAATCGCGATTCACTCATTTGAAGCGGGAAGATAGTTCGCGAACACTTTCAGGTACCTCTGCAGTTAGGATAGTTGTAAGTCCGCACAGACAGTTAGGATTGTCTTGAACCTACTCTGGCAGTAAGGATTATTCTTTTAGGAGGCGTCGAAGTGACAAAGTCTGGCGGCAGTCTGCAGGGCCAGGGGATTCACTTCTACGTGCAGTTCAATTCCCTTGCCAGGTGTCGTCATTGCTTGTGGTGCGGCTCAGACTTCTACACGAGGCAGGTCGCGCTAGCGGCACACTGCAGGGAGGCTGGCGAAAATTTTAGCTGTCACTTGATGACAATTTCAAAGCTTATATACCTTATAAGGGTGTCATGAATAAATTTGAAGGCATACACCACCAAGCCCATGCAGCAAGAACAGGAGCTTTGATAAAAATGTCATCACTGGTCATCATTCACAAGTGATGAAAATGTCTTCCACGATGTTGTCATCAAGTAACAACAAAGTTTTACAGTGTTGCTTCCGCACCGTTGATGAGCATCTTCTCGGCCTGCGTGAAGCTGGGCAGCCTGGACTCCTGGAGGCCTTCCTCGGCGCACTTGGCGTCCACGGTGCGGCGCATGAGGGGAGGGTAGTCGCCGCGCAGCAGGGGATCCGCCACCCAGCCCAGCTCGAACGTGTTGCGCCGCTCCGCCGCCTGGATGTCCTCGTACCGACTCGTCTTGGGCCGCGCGAAGTAGCTCTCCAGCGAAATACCGACGCGGCCTGCAGCGGCAGACAAAATTAGTTTCACCAAGTGCAGCAGGGTGCGCAGACGAAGCAAAATTAGTTAAGAGATTTTCCAAGACTGCAACTGCGCTGGCCAATTGATTCGGGATTTTCTTCAATCGATGTGAAACTTCAGTGGCCGTTGGGCATTAGGGTGCCGCGAAAACACTTTTTTCTGAAATTGATATCGGCTCGGGTGGCAAAGTGTTCTCTCTGGGGTCAATATGAACGGTTTTAAATATCACCCCGATCGGATAATATCTTCAGCCCCCACAACGGCCTTGAAAATCGAATAAATGGTTAAAAACGCCTTGTGGGTAGGCAATTTGTTTGCACGCTTCCGGCCACTTCCAGGCGTGTCCTTACACACTAAACTTCTTACGGATACATCCTATCTGTATTAGGGACACTTTTGTGCAATTATACGGATGAAATCATCCGTATTACAAAGAGTTTTACGTCCGTACCATACGGATATTTTCGTCTGTATGTTACGGACACGAAAACCTTTGTATTACGGATAAAATCATCCGTATTACAAGCAAAATCTTTCCGTAATTGCAATTGCACAAAAATGTCCGTAATACAGATAGGATGTATCCGTAAGAAGTTTAGTGTGTAGGCTTAAAAAGTCGAAAGAGGACCCCCTTAGCCTAAAATAAATTTGTGGACAACCTCACTCTATGATTAATACTAGTTTCTGCAAAGTTAACGCATGATTTTTAACAATTTTGTCATGATTTGCCTGTAAATTCCCACGTATGTCACTTTCGCCCATTTCGACCGTCTTTTTCTCCGATCCCCAGCCGAAAATCCCGGTTACGGTTCCGGAGAAAATCTCCGCTTACGATCGTAAATCGCCCCAAATTTTCCGGTTGCGATCGGAAACCGGACCTAATTTACGGTTACGGTCGGTCACGTCCCGGTTACGATCGGACTTGTTCCGGTTACGATCGGACTCGTTCCGGTTACGACCGGACCCATTCCGGTTACGATCGGACCAGATCCGGGTCCGAGGCCGGACTCGAAGAAGCATGTCCCATGCGTTTAAGTCTCCAGCGAATTTTCAGAAACACTCCATAACTTGTGAACGGTTACTTATAATAAATTTCTGAAGTCAAAATTGGGCGTAGCTCGCAAAGTTTACCCTGTGGCCATGCATATCTAACGCGGATCTCTGCTTGATGGAGCACCACAGAAGACAAACTTGATGTCTTGTGACACTTTGTACTCCGACCGCAATGGTCAGTTACGGTCGTAAACCCTTCCTGGTTACGATCGTAGTCGTAACCGGAAATGTCCGAAATTACGGTCGTAATCGTATTCCGGCCGGAATCGTATCCCGGTCGGAATCCTATCCCGGTCGTAACCGTACTCGGAACCGTAACCGGGATTTTCGGCTGGGTCTGACTTGCTTCCTGAGGTCAGAAGGGTCGATTTAGGGGGGGTTCATTTTGGGTCAAAAATCGCTAGGACGCTCTGTTTGGCGGGAAAATTGGGTCCAATTAATCAATTTTTCTGCAATTTCGGTTATTTTGACCCAATTTTCCCGCCAAACAGAGCGTCCCAGCGATTTTTGACCCAAAATTAACCCCCCCTAAATCAACCCTTCTGACCTCAGGAAGCAAGTCAGATCGGAGAAACAGACGGTCGAAATGGGCGAAAGTGACATACGTGGGAATTTACAGGCAAATCATGACAGAATTGTTAAATATCATGCGTTAACTTTGCAGAAACTAGTATTAATCATAGAGTGAGGTTGTCCACAAATTTATTTTAGGCTACGCGGGTCCTCTTTCGACTTTTTAAGCCTAAGGACATGCCTGGAAGTGGCTGGAAGCGTGCAAACAAATTGCCTACCCACAAGGCGTTTTTAACCATTTTTCCGATTTTCAAGGCCGTTGTGGGGGCTGAAGATATTATCCGATCGGGGTGATATTTAAAACCATTCATATTGGCCCCTGAGAGAACACTTTGCCACCCGAGCCGACATCAATTTCAGAAAAAAGTGTTTTTCGCGGCACCCTATGGGCATAAGGGAAGTTGCCAAAATTGTGGGTCCTTTTGGCTCCTAAAAAAGTGAAAAAAATATCTCGTTCTAATTTTTTTTTAGTATTTTTCCTGTATTCTAGGGCAGCGGTTCCCAACCTTGGGGTCGCGACCCCAAATGGGGTCGCGAAAAAATTTCGAGGGGTCGCGGCGAGGTGGTTGGGGTCGTCTGGGGTCGCGGCTGTTTCCCGGCTGGCAGAATTGTTCAAAACGGTCGAAAATGCCTTTGAAAACTCGTGTTTTAGGCCGACTTTAAGCAGCAACTGCGTCTGATCCGAGGCGGTATTTCGCCCTCCCTCAGCGGGCATTTGGTCTTTGGACCTTCCTATATCATGCCTTTGTTACGGAGTGCGATTAACGGCCTTAGTTTGGGAGCAGTATTGTCTCAAAGTGGATCAAAATGGCATTCAAAGGCATTTTTTACTGTTTTTATCAACTTTGAGACAATACTGCTCCCAAACTAAGGCCGATAATCGCACTCCGTAACAAAGGCATGTTAAAAGGAAGGTCCAAAGACCAAATGCCCGTTGAGGGAGGACGAAATACCGCCTCGGATCCGACGCAGTGGCTGCTTAAAGTCGGCCCAAAACACGATTTTTAAAATACATTTGTGGCCGTTTTGATCAACTTTGCGGCAATACTGCTCCCAAACTAAGGTGGATTATCGCACTTTGTATCAAAGACATGCTAAAGGAGGGGTCGCGTGGGGTCGCGAAATTTTTCCTGGGGGTCGCGGAAATTTTTTGTTACAAATTTGGGGTCGCAAACCGAAAAAGGTTGGGAACCGCTGTTCTAGGGGTCATTCTAAACGCATTTCCGAAGGAGGCCAGTATTTTCTCGCACTTTGATTTTTCCCCTATACTTTAACATGGGGAGATGGCACGGAAGTTACCATGGCACGGAAGTTACATCATAAACAAACGGCGAAAACGGACCAACCCGTTCACCAAATCGAACAGGTGTCTCGCCTAAAGTTTAAGAGACGTGAAAGCGCAAAATGGCCAGGTGGACCGAAATCGATAGGCCAAGTAACACGCTTGCTATTGATGACACGGAATGTTACACACAAACCTGACACATGCCGGATTTTAACCTTTGATGGTCCAGCCAGCCGGAATGGAGCCCTGCAGCGAAAATCCGCCTACCGCGCCGGAAAGAGGAAACCGCGCTGCTCATTCTGGTCGCTGAGCCGAACTTTTCTCGCCACAGGTTCAGCGCTGAGGCGCGAAACTAAAGCTGACGATGTTTGAAAACCAGTACACGGTGGACATTTTTTCATCCAATAAAGCAGGGGGTGAGAGTCACTGGAATAAATTGCTATCCAAGGGTGTCATAAAGGGTTGCCAACGGAACAAAAGGCTGTTCGCGGATTTGCTCTCCGACAAATAGTTCAGGATATTTTCGCCTTGAAACACGGACTTTTTGGACAATGGACAGCACGGAAGTTACATTTTGCCCAGTTTTAGCCTGTTTTGACAGGGAAATGCTTGAACTGCATGCTCGGTTAGTGTGTGGGATAGTAGGGGAGATGAAGTCGAGTCATAGGAATCAAACCGCAGGTCGATACGTCGAAAAATAAGGAAACTGTGGCCCAAAGACACAAAAGGACCCACAATTTTGGCAACCTCCCATAAGGGGGCTCATACATGTTAAAAGCACTTTTCTAAAAAAAAATTTTGATGTAGACGGACTAAGATTTTACAATTTCTGTGTTAAAATCCTTTTAGATAATTGAGTAAGCTTCATTTTGGCTTAAGGGAAAGTGACTTTGGACATTTTTTAGAGATTTAGTCGAAACGTTTAAAATTTTGCTTCTCGTAAGATTTTTGTTCGCATACTTGCTCAGATCTGTGGGGAAAAAATCAGGGAGACTCATCCCCAGTAGTGTCATAGAATTGACTACAATGGGCTTTATATCTGCAATAGTTTTCAAGAAAAAAAATAAAAACAATTTTTGGTTAAAAAATTTGTTTAAAAAATTGTTTAAAAAATTGTTTTTTTTTTCTTGAAAACTATTGCAGATATAAAGCCCATTGTAGTCAATTCTATGACACTACTGGGGATGAGTCTCCCTGATTTTTTCCCCACAGATCTGAGCAAGTATGCGAACAAAATCTTACGAGAAGCAAAATTTTAAACGTTTCGACTAAATCTCTAAAAAAAGTCCAAAGTCACTTTCCCTTAAGCCAAAAGGAAGCTTACTCAATTATCTAAAAGGATTTTAACACAGAAAATGTAAAATCTTAATCCGTCTACATCAAAAAAAATTTTTTGGAAAGTGCTTTTAACATGTATGAGCCCCCGTAAGTCAAGTCACATGGGAAACCCATTAAAAATAGGTTGTTCTGTCCGATGACCACTCACTTGACTCCTGAATTTCGTTGCTCTCGAACGCTCGGAGTCGAAAACTTCGACTTCGTGACCTTTTTTTAATTTTCGTAACAAAAATAACGCAGAAAACTTGATTTTGTCTCAAAATTTAAAACTTGTGTTGAGGAGTCGAAAAAAGGTTCGAGAAGGGACCGTAATCCAAGAATCCAGTTTAGCATTGATTGAATAAAGCCCTCATTCAATTGGACTGCGCACGATTCATTGGAAAATGTCAAAACTTATTTCGTTGATGATTTTGGTGCGGAATTATTGCTTGTGTAGGAAGTACGTTCATGGGGGATTTATAGCTGACTGCGCTGAACCTACGAAGGTTACCAAGAATCTTCGGCAATTTACTACAGTTCCTTGAGCACTTGTTCTCATGGGCATTTACGTTAATTTCAGAGATTTACTTTTAAAGTGAGGTCAAGTAGTTCTCCTAGACGAACCCAGCACCAACCTCCTTGCTCTGCAAACTGCTTGTGGTTGAGACGATAGGCCCTGGCGTGAGCCAGAATCATGTGGTGCACTGTCAGATACTCGTCGCGGCCTGGGCTCCTTTTGCCTGGAGCGAAGATGCCGTAGGGACATTCCACGTGAATCCAACGACGGTTTGAAATCGAGGTCCTCGGATTGCGACCTAAGTGGTATCAATCGATTCGGTATCGGCCCCTGACTCACCATGTAAATTTTTTTGAAAAAATTTCGAATGGTTTAGTTTTTGCACCAGTTTTATGGTTTTATAAGTTTAAAAATAGTAAAAACAAAAATTTTTTTTCAAAATTTTTTGTAGGTGTTCTTGAGGGTTTAGGAATGTGGGAAAAGCATTAAAAGTTGTTTGAGAACCATCTGGGAGGTTTTAAGGGTAGTGAAAATGGTGAATTTTGGTGAAAATTTGACAAATTTCACCGTTCTGAAAATACGTCATCATGGATTTTGGCCAAACTTTTTTTTTCTTTTCCTCTACTATTGGTGCATACTCCCTTAAGAGGGTTTGGATGGCCCGCCACAATTTTTTCTTCTGGAGCCTATAACATGTCTAATTGCGGCATATTTTTCCCTTTAATTGACTGTTTTTTTGTCGTCTCTCTCATGCGCTTACTTGGTCGACCATGCAGATCACTCAAAGTAAGGATATCAGGGCCCAACACAACTCCTGATAGCTAGCTCTTCTAATTGCAGACTTTTAGGGACCCATGCAATCATTATCATTGATACTTTAAACAAATTTATTTTATTTTGAGCACATTTTCACTCATAGATCTCGACTAACCTGAGACATGGAGTTTTGAAGTGGACAAAAGTTTAGTGACAACTCACTATTTAAGGATGGCAAGATTCAGAAATTCTTAATGGAAAGAGTAATCAAGTTGAAACATGTGCCGTACTACATAAAGTCCACTTCGAAACTCCATGTCTCAGGTTAGTCGAGATCTGAGTGAAAATGTCATCAAAATAAAATAAATTTGTGTAAAGTAACTATAATAATGGTTGCATGGGTCCCTAAAAGTCTGCATATAGAAGAGCTAGCTATCAGGAGTTGAGTTGGGCCCTGATATCCTTACTTTGAGTGATCTGCATGGTCGACCAAGTAAGCGCATGAGAGAGACGACAAAAAAACAGTCAATTAAAGGGAAAAATATGCCGCAATTAGACATGTTATAGGCTCCAGAAGAAAAAATTGTGGCGGGCCATCCAAACCCTCTTAAGGGAGTATGCACCAATAGTAGAGGAAAAGAAAAAAAAAGTTTGGCCAAAATCCATGATGACGTATTTTCAGAACGGTGAAATTTGTCAAATTTTCACAAAAATTCACCATTTTTACTACCCTTAAAACCTCCCAGATGGTTCTCAAACAGCTTTTAATGCTTTTCCCACATTCCTAAACCCTCAAGAACACCTACAAAAAATTTTGAAAAAAAATTTTTGTTTTTAGTATTTTTAAACTTATAAAACCATAAAACTGGTGCAAAAACTAAACCGTTAAAAATTTTTTCAAAAACATTTACACGGTGAGTCAGGGGCCGATACCGAATCGATTGATACCACTTAGGTCGAAATCCGAGGACCTCGATTCCAAACCGTCGTTGGATTCACGTGGAATGTCCCCGTAGCCATACACCAGCGTAGCGAATATGTGGGGTTCGTTAAGTGTAGTCCACCACTTCACCTGATTCATGAAATGTCGAAATGTCACATTTGTAAAGTCTTAAATCGACGAGTCCTAACACAATACTCGTATTTTGCAATGCAGATCCAAGATCCAAGGGGGGCAAGGCGCTTGATTTCGGCTTACATTGTAGCTTCAATTTTCATGCCATGTTTGGTATGTTTTCGAGGATACTGCTGACAAAAGTGAAAGAGTTCAAATTCCGTTGCAATTAATTTCGATATGACTAACATTCTTCATATGAGTTGAGCTTTATAACCCATGTCTCCAAGAAAGCTTTAACCGAAATTTATAATCAGATTGACCGTAATAAACACCAGGAAGACGAATGCAGCCTCGAATGGTGAAAACTTTGATTTGAACTGTGGATGGTCGAAAGATGGCACGCTATACTCTGAAGCAAGGAGGAACGTAAAAAGATGCCCTTTTGAACGTTGGATCGTTGCAGACGTTCGAGTGCTATGACACAATCGTTTCAATTTGAATGGAGACCTTATCAGGTCGGCTAGGCCAGCGGTTCCCAACCTTCTTCGGTTCGCGACCCCAAATTTGTAACAAAAAATTTCCGCGACCCTCAGGAAAAATTTCGCGACCCCACGCGACCCCTCCTTTAGCATGCCTTTGATACAAAGTGCGATAATCCACCTTAGTTTGGGAGCAGTATTGCCGCAAAGTTGATCAAAACGCTTAGAAATGTCTTTAAAAAAATCGTGTTTTGGGCCGACTTTAAGCAGCCACTGCGTCTGATCCGACAAGGTATTTCGTCCTCCCTCGACGGGCATTTGGTCTTTGGACCTTCCTTTAGCATGCCTTTGTTACGGAGTGTGATTATCTGCCTTAGTTTGGGAGCAGTATTGCCACAAAGTTGATCAAAACGCTCAGAAATGTCTTTAAAAAATCGTGTTTTGGGCCGACTTTAAGCAGCCACTGCGTCTGATCCGACAAGGTATTTCGTCCTCCCTCGACGGGCATTTGGTCTTTGGACCTTCCTTTAACATGCCTTTGTTACGGAGTGTGATTATCAGCCTTAAATTGGGAGCAGTATTGTCTCAAAGTTGATGAAAACAGTAAAAAATGCCTTTGCATGCCATTTTGATCCACTTTGAGACAATACTGCTCCCAAACTAAGGCCGATAATCGCACTCCGTAACAAAGGCATGCTAAAGGAAGGTCCAAAGACCAAATGCCCGCTGAGGAAGGACGAAATACCTTGTCGGATCAGACGCAGTTGCTGCTTAAAGTCGGCCTAAAACACGAATTTTCAAAGGCATTTTCGACCGTTTTGAACAATTCTGCCAGCCGGGAAACAGCCGCGACCCCAGGCGACCCCAACCATCTCGCCGCGACCCCTCGAAATTTTTTCGCGACCCCATTTGGGGTCGCGACCCTAAGGTTGGGAACCGCTGGGCTAGGCTCATCTGCAGCTGACTCTCATTGACACAAATGCGACACACAGACACTGTATTCCGAGTACTCAATCCAACGTGACACCTTTCGCGTTCAAACGAAACTTATCGCTCCTAGAATGAAAGTTGTGTCCACGCCAAAGTGGGTAAAAACCGATGAAAACGCCAGATGACGATTTGCGGAACTGACGAAAAATCGCGAAGACTGTTTTTAGACAATGTTTAGTGGATATCCACGTGTTATAGAATGTAACCCCGTCTCAGTCTTCACTGTTTATAAGATAAAAAGACGTTCACGCATACCTGATCACCAAATGTCTGAAACGCGAACATCGCATATTTTTCGAAGTATTCAACAATCTCATAGCCCAGCCATCCTTGAAAGCGATCTTCGGAGATTTGTGGGTGCTCCAAGTGATACAGCGTCACCTACAAACATGCAACAATTTAAATATTGATGTTTCATATTTCAGAGTCTGCTTTTGCATTAAAAAAAAAAAAGCAGTTGCAACGTACAATAGGAGTAATGTTGTTATCAAGCAGTTCTTGGATGAGGTTCTTGTAGTATCGAACACCGGCCTTATTTGCGTTTTCTAGTTCTCCTGTTGGTAATAAACGTGACCAAGACAGAGAAAACCGGTACGCATTGACCTGAAATAAAACGGAAATTTTATTTAATACCCTATTTCTCTTTATACAGCCCTATTAAACTTAAACTCAGCAATGTCTTGTTTGCGATTTCATCAGGGAATTTGATGCCACCTGACTGAAGTACTCTGTATTCATCTATTGGTGCACACTGGCAAGAACACACCTTCAGATGCACACAGCCAATCCAAGTGTGAGACAGTCTCACTCCAGTTAGTGCGAACCACTGTGTCTCACGGACTCTCATTCCCAGGAACATGACATCACGTTGAAACGAACGTGACACGTTCGTTTGTTTGATCATTGTCACGTTCGTTTGAATGTAAACAAGCTGATTTTCGTCCAATTCACAGCCAAACGAATGTGACACAATGCTCAAACGCTGGAATGAGAGTGCGCTTACAAGCGTAATGTCGAGTACGGACTTGGAATCGCCAGCGCCACCTACCCGACACCCGACCCGAGTGGCAGGGGCACTGAGAAAACCTTACAAACTATTTTAGGCCTTACAAAGGAAAGCGGCTTGTTGGCGAGCGATAGCGAGCCCTTGCCGTGTTTGGGCGCTCCGAAAAGTGACTGGTCGTGCGTCTGTCTGTCTGTCTGTCTGTCTGTCTGTAGCGTACACGCTCACGTTTCTCAGCAACTACAACACTAATAGTTACCAAATTTTGCACCGAACATCCCCTAAAGGTCCCACAGGGGGAGTTTATTTTATATTCACGATTACTACCGTTTGAAATATTCAAAACATCTTTTTGAATTAGGTTCTTAGCGTGGTTAGGTTGGCAGCATATATAGCAATTTTTCATACTTGCGGCCGCGGCTCTCAAATACGGGACTGGCAAAACATTGGCAAATAAAACAAAATAGAGAGGAGAAGGGCTTAGAAGTGAGTTCGGTCTTAGTTTTTCGATATTCTAGAATGATTGAAACCCCTCCGGAGTGTCAACACAGTGAAATACGGAAAATGAAAGTGACAATTATTACGCGTTTCGTCCGTCCGCCCCCTCCCCTCCCCCGCCACAGGGGAAATGTTTTAGTCAGTGGAGTGTGTTTGATCGTTTGATAATTGCAAGAATGATTTGGTCTTTTTAAGTTTTGAGAGAGTATTTCCATTTTTATTCTCAGACATTATACTTTTTAGTTGTTTGCTTTGCTCAATAACAGTTAGAAAATAGATCAATGCAATCTAAAAGTACAAACCAGACACTAATCTTGCCAAAATAAATAGTATTTGCTGACTCTTGGCACTGACTCTGGGGAAAGGCTTCATTGCAATGCTGTAAGTTTACTATAGTACTAACCTTAAAGATAACTATATGGTGAGTGAGAGTAGCGCATACATGGTTTGACATTGACATCTGATTCAATGAGACGATTCAGTGACTTGGTCATATGATTTCATGAGACGATTCTTTTAACTTCATCATACATTGTCTGCGACAACTGGTAATTTGTGTCAGTCATGGTTTGAGTTGGCTGTCTTTTTAATTTATTCAGAATGTTAGGTAAATACTTATGCTATACTGTTTTAAAGATTAAATATCACATCATGACTATCATTATGAATAAGATTAACTTGCGTTTAGCAATAAGTGGGCTCGACATTGAATTCAATGGAACGATTCATTGGATCTGACAGAAGGTCTTCTCCGTAAAGTAGTTGCAATCAGCCTGCCTGTAAATGTGTCTCTTTTTAATGAATTGAGATAAATCAATGAAGTTTCATCCACTAGTTTAAAATAAAAGGGAGATAAAAGGCTTTTTAGGTATTACTTATAACATTGTGTATTCATAAGTTCAATAACAAGGAGATATCGAATGGTAATTGAAGCATTTGTGAATCGTATTAAGTAATTCAATGCTGGCTGTTGAATGTTACTCGACTGAGTAACAGTGTTAGGGTTCATGTTACGACACAATGAACAGGAAACACACTTAGAAATTGCGAAAATAACTTCCAATTTCATCCCAGACCATTACTTTTCCCAAAATTTACCAATTTCTGAACAAAATTTTGAAGTCGAGTTCTACATAGTTTCCTGCAGTTTTGGGTGTGCTGATCACGAAAATGACTTCCAATTTCATCCCAGACCTTTACTTTTCCAAATATTTACCAATTTCGGACCAAAATTTTTGAGTCGAGTTATACATAGTTTCCTGCAGTTTTTTGGGGTGCTGATCACGAAAATGACTTCCAATTTCATCTCAGACCTTTTCTTTTCCAAATATTTGCCAATTTTGGACCAACATTTTTGAGTCGAGTTATACATAGTTTCCTGCAGTTTTTGCTGTGCTGATCACGAAAATGACTTCCAATTTCATCTCAGACCTTTACTTTTCCAAATATTTGCCAATTTTGGACCAGAATTTTTGAGTCGAGTTTTACATAGTTTCCGGCAGTTTTTGGTGTGCTGATCACGAAAATGACTTCCAATTTCATCTCAGACCTTTACTTTTCCAAATATTTACCAATTTTGGACCAAAATTTTTGAGTCGAGTTTTACATAGTTTCCTGCAGTTTTTGGTGTGCTGATCACGAAAATGACTTCCAATTTCATCCCAGACCTTTCCTTTTCCTAAAATTTACCAATTTGTGACCAAAATTACAAAGTTGAGTTTCCCATTGTTTCCTGCAGTTTTCAGTAAGATAATCACGAAAATGACATGAATTCCGGCCTTTTCGTGACGGAAGACACTGTATTGGCCTTATTCTCCACATATTCTTCGCCATCTCCTATAAGAATGTGTTCAGACGCATCGCTCGCCTACTACGCGCCCAAACTAAACGGCGCGTACCCCTAGTTATAACAAAATATTTTGAGCCTACATAAGCTTGCAAAGAAAATACTTTGTAATTTACGGACTATATTCGTATAACAAAGTTAAGTAGTTCGTTATGAATGCTCTAAATACATCGTACCCCCTCCCCCAAAAGTGCCCCAAAGGCCGCCTTATTGAGTGTGCGCTGTCGCAAGTTGAAAATGCAAGCGTGGATTATCGAAGCTGGGCAGCGATGCGAAGTCTTGCTACGACGAGACACCGTCTAGCGTAGACCTACACGTGCCTCGCGGCATCTTACCTTGAGTTCCTTCAGCAGGCGGACGTCTTCTTTGTACTTGTGATACGAGTCGTCTGCTATGTCACCATTAAGCCGCCCTGCACTGTGGAAGAAGTGGTCTATTTGACTGACTCCCTTCCCTGGAAGAATAATAATCACGGTACATTATTATTCCAGACAGGAGAAGAGAGCTTGTGTCGCAGACGAGCTGCACGTGTCCCAAAACACGTTCCCTGAAACACTGTTACACAAAACTGAACTGTGGTGTAACTGCTGACGCCTTTTCAATCGAGTTACCGTATGGCAAACCGTCTGGTAGGTAAAAGGCCTTACCGTCTTCGTCCCACGCTCCCTCCACTTGGTAGCTCGAAGAGCCTGCACCGAAAATGAAGCCGTCTGGTAGACGGTAGATTGCGTCGTCGCTTCCATTCGAGAGCTTCGCCGGAACCTTCAAACAAGAAATCTGTAATGAGCTCAGCAGTTTCATTTAAATTCACGAAATTCAAAAACTGCAGCCAAGTTCAAAAAATTCATCAAATTTTAAAAAAAAATCTGGAATGTTCACAAAATTTTATTAAAATTTGTCAAAATTCATGAAAATTCAACAAAAATTTCAAAAAATGTGTGAAATTTACGGTTATGTACACCAAAATTCAAAGTAATTTCCCCTTGGCAGTGATTGCGCATTCAAATTTTAATTTTGGTTTGAATCTCTAACCAGGATCTCAACTGTAGGAAGGCCAATTTTTTGTTACACCTTGATTTATTGAAAGCGAAAGATGACAGTCGGTCGGACAAGTTTCTGCCCTGTGTTTGCAGGACTCCACGAGATCATGTTTTCGCTTAGCAATGAGCGATAGCAAAGTCTTATCTACAGATGCATACTTGAATCAGTTCACACCTATAACGTTTGCATCTGTGGTGTGTACTCATCCTAGTATATATATATTTAAATTT